ATTAATCAAATACCAAAATCAATAACTTATCAAATCAGCAAACAGTTATTTGATTATTTTTTACTAGATGGTTCAAAAATAATGAAAACAGCTATAATATCAAAAGTTTAAAGAAAATTTAAGCTGAATTAATTGTTAATTCTTTTAAATTAAGTCCTTTGAAATAATATTTGGTATTATCTTATCTGATTTATATGGGCTAGATGCTAAGAAAAGAGACCAAATTAACAAAAAAAAAGATCTTCAAAAAATCAATTTTTATGTTATAAGTCTTATAATAAATTATAAGAAAATGCAAACTTTAAAGAGCTATACTACAAAATTTTTTAATACAATTACTTTTGTGTTTTAAGTAAAAAATAATTCTAATCTTATTTTAAATTGATTCATATAAAAAAATATCCATTGAAAAAATTGTCAATTTGGTCTCTTTTCTTAGCACCTAGCCCATATTGTTTTTGAAATAAATTATAAAAAATAATTTCTTGAACAAACTTATTAGTAATCAATAAATATCAATACTATATTATCTCAAAATAATGGCTCAGGGTGTAGGTTAAAATTTTGGCCTGAATTAAGCTTAATTTGGCCTAAATTAAGCTTAGTCTGAGCCAATTTTTTAACTTACACCCTGAGGTGTTATTTCAAGATAACATAGTAAATAAATAAAAAACAAATGCATATTTTGATAATATTTAATTTAATACAAACAAGAGAAGACTAAATTCCTGAGTTGTATTCTGAAGATAAAAACTTTTTAAAAAGATTTTTAAAAGTGAATAGAAACTTTAGAATTTTATAAAATACAAAGTCTCAACTATACAGATATTTTTGTCAGGATTTAACTGATATTTAGTTATAAAACAAAACACAGTAATAGTACTAAGCAGATTATTGTAATAAGAAAAAAAAATTCTGTTTATATTGATTTTTTTATTTTAATTTAACTTCTCTAAAAATAATATTATATAAAAATAAACATTGTGATTATATCTTAACAAGTACACAATAAGCACAAGATAGCTTAGTTAAAATAATAATCCTAATACAAACAATATATAAAACTATTTATTAAAAATATTACCTCAATATCAACACAGTTATAAAACATACTAGCCACATTATTTAAATAAGTTTAATGTTAATTATAAATATATTTAACCAATCATATACTACAATTACAAAAAATCAAATCCTTTCATCACAAACTTTCTTTTTGATTTTTAATGATTAATTATTATTAAATCAATACAAAAAAAAACTAAAATATAAAAAAACAAATAAAATAAAAATTTACAAAACTAAGTTTATTATATCCAGTATATACAGTGAGTAAAGTTTTGTATCTAGTACTTAGTACTAGTATTAGAATGAATAAACTATACTAAAATGATCTAGCAATAACATCTAATACCATAGTACTATAAAAATAGCAGATGTAGATTATTTCTTTTACATAATTATGAGGAAATTATCTTGACAATCTCACATCAAAAAATAAATAAGCATATAAAAATTCAAAAAGATCAGCTATAAATATGTAGCAAAAAACTAGTACATACATAACTACAACAATCTAAACAAAATTAAGTAGGGTTAAAAATAAAATTTTATTATCAGAAAAAAATCATTAAGACTTCATTTCCAGACCATAATCTGAACTATCATCTGAATAAATATTTGATTCTAATCTAATACATATTTTCTGAATACAAATTAGTTAATTACGAAAGTTATCACTAATAATCAATTTATTATAAAAATTAATTAATATTGATTGCTTTTTAATCGATTGTAACTATCCAATCAATTATAATTGATTATATTTTGATCGATTACAAATATCTAATCAATTATAATCAATTATTGTTTAATTAATTACAATCTTTATATATTAATTAACAATCAAACATCAATTATTATTGATTTTTTAATCAATAATAATTACTCTTGCAGCTGGTAATCAATATCTACTTATTTAAAAATTTTCTGATATTATTTACTAAGTTATTAAAAATGCTGTTTTTAAATATTTTCAAATTTTCAAATAGAGATTAATGAATCTCTTCCCAATGATCACTCGTACCAAACTTACGACTAACAAAAACGGAAAACTTGTTAGAGAAAATAGAAGAGACAACTACAAGTAACAGTTTTTACAGAAGTCAAGGCTATTTCTGGATCTCTGCTAGACTCCTCTGTATATTTAGCAAGCAAGTTAAAAGTGTTCTTGTACAAGATAACTGGTGTCCTTGTGCAGAAAATTTTAATAGAAGCATATATTTCTGCTGATGAAGTAAAAGTAGTTGGTCGAAAGGAGAACAACAAGCAAGTCTTCAACATACTCTCTATCGAAGTTTAGGCTATCTGCAAATTGAAACCCTATACCAGCTATTCTTTATAAAATTTTAACAAAAAGTGTGAAATCCAGCTTACCCCTATCGAAAGATTGACAACAACAATTACTGCCGAAAAAGAAAAATCACATACAGGAGTATGCAGATACTTTTGAATTAAAAGTACCTGATCAGTTCCTTCAAGAGGTAGCGGATTTACAAGACCTGTGTGTTGAACATACTTTGCCCAGGGAACATGCATATCATACAAGAATACATTCGCAGGATACCGTGCCGACAGAATGGTAGAAGCACAAGAGAAATTTCAAACTTGGATCTCTACTCAAAAATAGATATTATATATATTCTAATATAGACATAAATAATTAGCATAGAGTTTAGTCTAATTATTTAGTAGTACTATATAATTTTTACAATCTAGCACAGGTTTAATAGTGCTATCTTTGTTTCTTTTCTTTTGTTTTTGTTTTTTCTTTCATATGTTATTTTGGTTTTATTTGTATAGGTGGATCGAATTTGGTTGCCGAGGTATCACCCTTTTTTTTCTTTTTGCTCTTTGAATTTGTGTTTGTTCTTCTTTTTCTGAAAGAAAAGATGATACTGATACGGCATGTGACACCGGCCAATAATCAAAGGATTTACGTCTCTAGGAAGTTAGAGACCTGGAGGGAGGCAAATAGCCACTAGGCGATGTCGCACCTGGGCTTTTAAGTCGAGTGAGTCACTTATTGTGGTTAAAGATAGTAACTTTAGTTAAGAATTCTTGTAATTTTTGCTTAATTTACATCTTAAATAAAAGAGTGACAGGACATGCCAAAAAAAATATATTTTTTTCAAATTTTGATAGGATTTGATTAATTTGTTATTAATCAAATTTTACATACATTTGATGCAGAAACTAAATATTCTACCTTAAGACATATAATATGAAAATAGATTAATGAAAAATTAACCAAATCGTATCAAAATTTAAAGATAAATATCTAAAAAATGAGATTTCTAATAAAAAAATCTTGTTTTCATGAGCTATTTGATACGACAAATTACCTCCTGCACTATTATACCTCCATTTACTTTATGTTTAGTTCTATTTATTTGTATAATACTGTAATGATAGCTTTTTGATCAAAAACTTATTACCATAATTTTTATAATAAAAAGAATAGTAAAAATATTTTTCATTATTAATAATAATTTTTCTTGTCAATTTTAAAATCTTTCAATCTTTACTGCATTCTCAATAACTTTACTTTTTCAATTTTGCATATCATAATAAAATTTTTAATTAAAAAAAATATTTCAAATTGGTATACATTTGTTGTAAGTGGTAAGTGGATTTGGAATTTCTTAATAAAATTATAATTTTAGAGCATAATTTATTTTATGTAAACCTAATTTTGAAATGTAAAGTTGTTAAGAATGCAGTAAAGATTGAAAGATTTTAAAATTGGCAAGAAAAAATTATTATTAAGCGTACTATTATTGTATTACGTATATAATTTTTGATCAAAAATCTATCATTGTATATCGATATTAGGTGATCTGCCACCCCATTGTTACACGGAAAACATTCAGTGCTTACGTTATCAGTTGAATCTTTAGTAGATGAATCATCTACGGCACTACTGGTACTTATCAGTCATAGTACTGTGTAGATTTTCATAACAAAGAACTTTATTTGCTTAGTTAATATTTTAAATTTCTCGGGTTAATCCAGCCAATATCAATATAATACATCGCTTAACGAAAGAGTTTCATATACTCGTTTATTTATAGTACCAATAAATTCCTCGTAGGTTTTAACAACTGTTCATTTTGATCAATATGATATCTTTTAATATAACCCTAAAAAGTTAAAAAAAAACCATACAAATTTTATACTACATGTGTGAGAATCATTTTTAATATTAATATAGAAATTTTACCTAGAGCCCTAGAAAACATTGCGATATTCTTCTGGTAAGTCCTTCAGCGGTGTAAATTCAGTGTCAGAACACATTGAGTGATCATACGAAAGTCGCAATACATCTACATTTTTTATCTTATTCTATGATAATGCCTGGTCATCTGAGCTTGTTTTGGATGCAACCTAAACTTGAATTAAACAAAAATAAATAAATTTATATTATTTACAGTATCTTTAGGTTTTCTTCAGCAGAATCGACCTAGGCTGGTGTATTAATGAGTTATAGTAATTATATTAATTATGTTTTAACTAGTCCTAATTTCTAAAAAGTTATCGTATATACCACGGAATTCACTTTTATGAGAATTGCGGCTTACTGTAGAATTAATCATAGCATAGCATCCAAATGCCATAAAACCCACCTCAATGCCAAATGCCGCAATATCTTAATTTCACAATACCTCAATGTTGAAGTTCCAATCATTTCCCCGACATCCATTTTCCTGACAACCACTTTCCCGCATTATACATGGCGTAGAGCTATTGCAAATTTGCCGAAAGTATTTCGGATTATTTTGGGACAAACGAAAATTGCCCAAGACTGAATCGATAAATTCCTGATTTCGTAACTTATCGATCCGGTTATCGAAAAATTTTTCAGTTGACCCAGAATTTATGAGTAGAGATGAAGATCGGTCATATTTTTGATGATCGGTCATTGATCGATAATACACATGATAGATCGATACTTGATCGATTATGATCGTTTAACTGAATATGAGTGCGGGAGAGGCAAAAGGGCGCACTCGTTTTTTTTTGTAAGTTATTGATTATTTATCCGATTCAGCCCTTCTGATTTACAGTATTTCGGGCATTAAATATATCCGATATCGATAATATCTATTTAATGCCCGAAATGCTGTAAATCAGAAGGGCTGAATCGGATAAATAATCAATAACTTACAAAAAAAAACGAGTGCGCCCTTTTCCCTCTCCCGCACTCATATAATTTTTTGATCGGTCAAATTATATGATCGGTCAAAATTATATTCGGTTAGAATTACATGATCGATCAAAATTATATCAATATGATCGATCATTAAGTAGCTGCGAAGCACGTGGTACCATATAGGCTAACTTTCTCGTGATTGGCCAATTTTTTTCAATTGAATTTATACAGTTTAAAGTACTTTTACCCCTTAACATAGTAAATTTTTTTTTTTTAAATGTAACTGCCGTTTATAATACTACAGAAGACTCTTTACGAACGAAGCTTTAAGTATCTTGTGTATCTCTGGGATTCATCCTACCTGAG